CAGCAAATGTTACACTTGAATCTGTTACTTGACTTTATTCATTTCTATTAATCCATTTTGTAGGTTTCCAGATCTGCACTATATACTGTTTTATTTACTATATCATTAGAGTGTATATTTATAGTTGGTAAAATGAGTCCCCCCACCCCAATTCTTATTTTTCAATTTTCTTTTCTTTTTTTTTTTAAGATTTTATTTATTCGTGGGAGACACACAGAGAGAGAGAGAGAGAGAGGGGCAGAGACACAGGCAGAGGGATAAGCAGGCTCCATGCAGGGAGCCCGATGCGGGACTCCATCCAGGGACTCCAGGACCACGCCCTGGGCCGAAGGCCACGCTAAACCGCTGAGCCACCCAAGGATCCCTTCTTTTTCAATTTTCTTGACTAATGGCTCTTCTCCTGTTTTCTGTATTATTGTGTATTTCGACTTGAAAAAACTTCCTTATTATCATTTTAATATGGCTGTGGGAAGAGGGAAGAGAGATGGAATTCTAATTGCCTCCCATAATGATCTTCTCCTCCTATTTTTTATTCTAGTGATTTTACTTACTCATCTCTATTGAGATTTTCCTTTTGTTGTTGTTGTTGAGATCATATGAATGTTTAATTCCAAATATCTCTCTTTCTGCCTCATATTTCAAAACTTCTAGCAATTAAACTTTAGAACTGCATTATTAATTGTTTTTATATGTAACCATACCTTTTATTGACTTTATTCCTCATTACATTTCTTATATAACATATCTTCTCCTTTCTTGAGTCCATTATTCTGGCTTATTTTTTTTTCTTGGCCAGAATAGACCTTCAAGTAATTTTTTAAAAATGTAGTAAAGGGTATTGGGGTGATATAGTTTGTGTCTTTGAACATGTCTTTCTTTTGTCATCACATATGAGAGAAATTGTAGTTTGGCAGCTGAGAGAATTCTTGAGTTACAATAATACTCTCTTAGAAGTCTGAAAAATCGTGCCACTGTCTTCTAGCAGAACATTGAAGATGAGAAATATGATATCAGTCTGATTTTCTTTTCTTTTAAGCAGCCTGATTTTTATCCCTTATCAGGAAGCTTGTAGTTGTTTCTCTTTGTTCTTGGAGTATTGGCCTACATCTAGAATTGTGTATTTTTTAAAAAGATTTTTTTTATTTATTTGAGAGACACAGAGAGAGAGAGAGACAGACAGAGATAGCAAGCAAGAGAGTATGAACAGGTAGGAGAGGGAGAAGCAGGCTCCTCTCTGAGGGACCCCGATGTGGGACTCGATCCTAGAACCCTAGGATCATGACCCGAGCTGAAGGCAGATGCTCAACCGACTGAACCACCCAGGGGCCCTAGAACTGTGTATTCTTTCAGGCATATCCCTGCATAGCACTCACACTTATATGCTCTAAGGCCTAAAGTCTTTCTTCAACTCAAAGAAATAGTCTTTTTTTAAAAAGATTTATTTATTTATTCATGAGACACACACACACACACACACACACACACACACAGAGGCAGAGACACAGGCAGAGGGAGAAGCAGGCTCACTGCAGGGAGCCCGATGCGGGACTTGATCCTGGATCCTGGGATCACAACCTGGGCTGAAGGCAGGTGCCCAACCACTGAGCCACCCAGACATCCCTCTTCTTTTTCTTCTTTGATTATTGCTTTCTCCTTCATAAACAATGTTGTCTCTTTCTGGAACTCCTGTCAGGCTAACTTTGGATGTTTGGGATCTCTCTGTTACATCTTGTCTCTCATCGGATGACTTAAATAACCTCCTCCTCCTCCTCCTCATTCCCTAATGAGCTGGGGTCTTGCCCCAATCCAGCCTTTGACTTCTACCCATATTAGGGACAAACTTCCCATTTTCCAAAGATGCTGTGAACTGACTGCCGTTCTGTGTGGACAGAATCAGCTTAGTTCCCAGTGTCCTGTAATTTGCTTCTGAACCAATGCCCATGACCCTCGTTGATTCTCTGATCCTCTGAGCTTGGGATTTTCCCGGACTTTTTTCTGGAAACCTGTGCACTTTCTTCTTAGGAGGTCTATGCAGAACCGTGACTTTTTTCAGCACTAATCAGCTCTTGCTAACCCACATTCCATCTCCTTTACATCTTCCTCATATTCTCCAAAATGCTGGCCTTATTGATGGCATCTTTCTCTGGCTCCCAGCACTGCCACTCATATATTGGTTATATAATTTTTTTCCCAGAGGAGTGGGAATAAATGTATGTGTCCAATTTATTATCCCAGAGACAAAAAGCCCCAGAGTGGAAATAGAGGGGAGCATCATTTGGTTTCTGGACCAAATGACCTTTCGGCCTAGCTCTAGGAGGCTTTTCTTTAAAGACTAAAGAATAAAGCAGCATAATTAAAGGTTTGAGAATCAACTTTCACAAAAAGGTCCAGAGAGGTAGGGTTTAATTTGGTCAAGGAGAACAAAATAAGGTGAGACAATTGGCAAGACACATTAAACCTGCTGAAGACAGGACAAGAGGGACCAAGCTTACATTACAGCCACGGTGATGCGAGTTGGTCACTGCGAAGACCATTTAACTCTTAAAAACTTGTGGGGTATCACGAGGCATTGCCAAGCCAAGTGAAGATGCTTCCTTCCTTCCTTCTCTGGTTGTTTTCTGGAGGGTCAGGGCTGTTCTGTGCAAGGGAAGAGGATGGACTGAGCCACCTCCTGGGTTCCCTGACAGCCTTGGGATATCATGATTATGACACCTTGGTGCATGTGATGTTGGATGTGGAATGAAGAACGGCAGCAGATAAACTCCCAAGGGTAAAAAAATAAAATCTTAAAAAAAAAAAATCTTGTCTTCACCCCAGCCCTACTGATCATTGTATTTTTTTTTTTTTAAATGTGAGAGACTGTTTTTGTCGGGAACACTTTTTCCAAATCTTTAAAACCGAGTGGAGAAATCTTCAGTTTCTTCCCCAACATGCTGGGAAGAACAGGAATTTGAGCAGCTCCCTCTCCCAGCAGCTGGAGGCAGCCCTGGCTCCCAGCACTGCTGGAGATTCCATCCACATCCCCTGGCAGTCCCCTCCCCCCAGGGCTGGGTACATAGAGAAGCTGGGAGAGGGCACCGGGCCAGGCCAGGGAGAGGAGTGCCGGCCCCCCTGTGGTAGGTCTGAGCCTTGTCACATTGCCTCCTGGGCTCAGGTCGCTGGTGGCCGTGGGAGAGCCAGTTGCAACCTGTGTGGCTGGTGACATTTCCGGCTGCCAGTGCCCAGCCAATCGGTGACGGGCCCAGCTAGCTAGAGCGATGACACATGAAATATGATAATTTTCTGCTAAGGAGCCCTGGAAGAGAGGAGAGAAGAGAGTGTGTGTGTGGCTGGGAGAGCTCAGCATAGGCAGTGCCTGCCATGAGGTGGGAGGGGACAGCTCATTGGTTTTAGTGGTTTGCCAAAGGAAGGAATGGGCTCTGATACTAGGGCTAGAGGGACATGCCCCAGGGAGTGGCTGTAGGAACACCAGGGTTGCTCTTCAGGTAAGCTGCTGGCTGCTGCTGCTGCTGCTGCTGGGTGGGAACCAGAGAGAGAAGCAGCCAGTGCCATTCTGGAGCTCTGGGGCTCCCAGGGTGAAAAAGAAACTATAAGGAGCAGTTTCCTTCCTTTCAGGCATAAGTGAGGTTAGGAGTTTTGGTTCCTTTTCGGTGCTAACCTCTTTATTTTTTTTAATTTCTATTTTTATTTTTTTACCTCTTTAAAAGCTAAAACAAAACTGGAACAAATACCACCTGGGTGGCTGAAATACTTAATGAATAATTTTTTTTTAAAATTTGGGCTAGGGGTTATCTCCCCCTCCCCCACTGCATTTTGCTACCTCGATGCTCAGCCTTGCCCAGAAAAAGAAAAAAAGTGTCGTTAACACAATTTTGAAGAAGGGCCTAAGTCTGAATCTTAGAGACTCTAAAGGTTCCGGTGGTAGTTTTGATTCCTAGACTCTGGTTGGAGGAAGAAAATGTCTTGGAATAAGATCTGGTCCTAGATTACATTATACTCTTGAAATAGTGCCAGCATGATTCTTTAGTTTGAGGACATGGCACCTGAAGCCGTGGGGCAAGATTTGGAAAGAGCACCCTGGGGTTAACTGTTAAGGTGGCAAAGCCCACACTTCCTCCAGCCCCTTTGGCAGGCTTCCTGGTCCTATGACAGCAGTTGGGGCTTGCGAGGGGCGCCCTCTGTGCTGACAGTCGTCTCCCTGCATTGTCTGACCCTGTGAATATGTGTGTTCAGAAGTGAAGGATCATAGCGTTTACATAACATGCTGATTAGTCACTGAGAAGCCCATCACTGCAATAGATGTGTGTCTCTAGCTTTACACCTTGCATTTGCATTCTCTCTCTCTCTCTCTCTCTCTCTCTCTCTCTCTATATATATATATATATATATATATATATATATATATATATATATATAGTTGTTGTTGTTGTTGTTAAAAAGCCACAGATAAATGAAATCACGACCACTCTGTCAGGATTTCACAGCCGGCCCTGTGGCTGTAGGCGTGGGACTAAGCTGCCTGCGCTCGCTCGGAGGAGTAGCTATTCAGAAGTGATAATCGGTGCACTGTGTCTTTAAAAGGTTAAAACCCCTTTCAAAGGAGGTCTGGACTCACAGTGGCAAAGGCGAGCGAGGCAGGGGCTGGCTCCGGCTTCAGCAAACAGCTGCTGATTAGATTCTGTGTCTGCGGGCTGAATTTATTCCGTGCCTTTCAGCAGCAGGGATCCAAGAGGGATGCTACTGTTTGGGTTTCTGATCGTGATTTATATTTATTCAGAGGAATAACAGAGGGTGGATCTGTTCCCGGCGCGAGCATGCTCACAAGCAGCCGACTCCCCCATTATCCGGCCGCCTAGTTTGGGGCTCCAATGTCCGTGAACACTCCGCGTGCATGTGTGTGTGCGCAGACACGCGTGCATGCCTGGGTGGACAGATGCACGCACGCGTTGTTTTGTGAGCACAGTTCTCTCAATGAGGTCTCTACCCCTTACTTGAAACAGGTGTTCATGGAAGAAACGCCCCAAGCCCCGACTGGCCGGAATATTCCATGAGGAAGGGGCTGCTGGATCCGTGGGTCCGAGGACGCGGGACCAGCGCGGCATCCCGAGGCCGAAGGTAGGGGACTCGGGGTTTCTGCGCGGCGGATGGATCCCTGGCGCCTGGGCTCATTGATTGTGCTTTTTTGCCTGCGGCCGCCACGGCGAGCGGCGCGCCGCGTTTCCATCTTGTCGTTGCCTTTCTCGGGCAGCGCGTCCGGGGGCTGAGCGGCTGCTCCGCGGGGCCGGGGGCGGGGGCCTCGAGCGCCTGGAGCGCCCCGGGACGCCCCTTGCTGCCCGCGGGCGGCCCCCGCCCTCCCCCGGGCCCCCACCCCCCGCGCGTCCCTGAAGCGGCACCGCGCGCTGCCTCCGCCGCGACAGAACCGCACGGAGACCCAACTCCCGCCGCGCTGGGGAGCCGTCCCCCGCCCCCGCCCGCACTCGCTCTCCACGCCGGGCCCCACTCGTTACCGTCTCTTCACATTAGAGACCCTGGTGGAGCCACCTGGCACCGGTCCGTAGGCAGCGCGGGGCCGGGCCGGGACGGGACGCAGGTGGCCGCGAGGCCTGGCCGTCCTGGCAGCCGGCCCCCTCGCTCGGTGCGGCAACTTCCGTGGCTCGGCCCGCCCTTGAACTTTGGGGGCGGGGTGCAGCGGTCTTTGGGTTTCTGGCAGCAGCAGCCAGGTGCGCCCCGGCTCCCGCTCCCCGCTCCCCGCTCCCCGCTCCCCGCTCCCCGCCGCCGCCTGAGCCACGTCGTGTGCGCGCGCGTCGGTGGGGGTAAAACGGGCTCGCGCTCTGGGCCTTGGGGTGGCGGAGAATGGGGTGTGCGCTGGGCCGGTCTCCATGGAACCTTCTCCAGCGCTCGTCTGGGTGATTATGTAACCCCCACGAATGATCAGCCCGTGCGCCCCAGCGGCGCCCCATGGTCCCCGGGTCCTCCCCGGACCAGGGAGCTGGGTCCCGTGTTTAAGATGTTTTTATGTAACTCTGTGTCTGCTGGGGGAGGGGGGCAGGGAGAGTGTGGGGAGACGTGGAAGGATTGGAGCGACTTCTGTGAAAAACAGGGGCAGAGAGCACGTGTGTACTCTCTGGGATGGACTTGGGGTTGCTGTTGATCTGAAGACCCTCCCACAGCCCTTTCCGCTAGTCATTGCTTGTCTGAATTTTCCCTTCGGTCCTCCCACCCCTGTTGAACCCTGTACAAGGTGTGAACCACTCCCGCGGAGCCCCTAGGATCCTAACTGAAGGGGGGGGGTGGTCCCGAGTACAGGGTGACGCCCAGGCTCACTTGCTTTAGGTCCCAGCTGTTTGTCATGCCTCCCGGAGGGGAAGAGCTCCTGCCCTGCTAAGGTTTCAGTTTTGCTCTGGGGTTAGGCTGCCCTGTGGGGCCTGAGAAAACCTGAGGCCAGCTGAGATGTTTGGCATTTGCTCTTTAAAACTGTGATGACTTTTGCAGAGGCCGGAGACCTTGGGCATTCTTGCATTAAAATGTTGTGGGGTTTTTTTTGGGGGGGTGGGAGGGGGAAGTAGGAGAGGAGCCGTCCTGCAGCAGCATCTGCAGGCAGGAGAGGAAGGTGTATATGACACTTTACTCTCCATTCTTCCTCCCCATTCTGTTTGGTGAAGGCACCCAGAAGACACAGGATTGTCACATGGGGCTCCTTTATCACACCCCTTAGCACCTCAGTCCAGGGCCACTGGGTAGACTTGTTAAATTTGATGGGAAAGTCTGGCCTCTTCAGGCTAAAATTGTTTTCTTCTCCCCCCAGCACCCTGGTGGGTCTCCTTTAAGAGCCAGCTACTAAAGTGTACACAGTGCAGCAGAGCAAGATGTGTTCAGCTGGCACCGTTGTTGGCTTGTCTCCGCCGATTGTGTTTCAGAGGCAGCCACCCTCCTCGGAGTGGAGAAGGGTGTGCTGCCTTCAGGGTCCTTGCCAAGTGGGCCTTTGAGGCGTTGAGTGTGTCAAAGGGACCAGCAAGTAGAAGATGCATTTAGTCTGAAGTCCTGGCAGGTTCCAGGCCCCAGCTTGACGGGGAGATGATGTGGGGAAAGCTGTGTGACAACTGGATGGCCTTAAACTTGTCTCTCACTTCCTGCTCTGTGAGTTCCTGATGTCTCTCAGGTTCTTTCTGTCTCCACACTGTCCACCCGGGAGATCCTGACATGCTGTCCTTCGTTCCATTTCTGGTGGGATCACAGCATGTTTGCAAAGCTACAGACGCACAGGGAAGGCAGGGCAGGGCACACTGGCTGGGTGAAGAGGCAGCTGGTGTTTCAGGCCAGGCTTGGCCACATGTTGACCGATGTTGTGTTTCATCTGTGAAGTAGGTATCATGAGCATAGCCTTACCGAGCCCACCGAAATGTCTTGAGCAGAAAATGACGTGAACATGGGCTCTGTAGCTAGCCGGCATGAGGATAACACCCCAAGGATCTGAAGCTCACATTTACGCAATCTCACTTACCCCATTGGGACCTTCGTGGTATAAACCAAGAGAGATGTCCTAAGGTCCATGAGCTACAGTTCGTGTATTTCGACCACTGCAGAACATTTCATACTTTCTTTCAGGCGTCTTCGTTTATGTAAAGCTCTAAGGGGCTTGGTTTTAATTTGCCAAGTACCCCTAACAGATTGGAAGAGATTGACATAGTACTGTACAGGGGTTATCAAAGTTCTTTTTGGTAAGTGCCAGTAAGAAGTACTAGTAATGTAAGAAACGGGAAAAAGAAAACAGATTAAATGAAATTTAAAAGGCACGGGAATTAAAAGCATAGAGTTTTAGGGCATCTAATAAAAGTACTTAATGTAAGCAATACAGTGAAATTTTATGTATTTTGATAGGTCCTCAGAACTCTGTTTTGTAGCCAAGTAACTGATGCTTATTGGTGACCTTTATGCATCAAGAACAGTTTTTTTAAAAATTATTATTTATTTATGATAGTCACAGAGAGAGACAGAGAGAGAGAGAGAGAGAGAGAGAGAGAGAGTGGCAGAGACACAGGCAGGCTCCATGCACCGGGAGCCCGACATGGGATTCAATCCCGGGTCTCCAGGATCGCACGCTGGGCCAAAGGCAGGCGCCAAACCCCTGCGCCACCCAGGGATCCCCCATCAAGAACAGTTTGAATGACATTTTGTGTGTCCAATGTAAGAAGGCATGAGATTTTGCAGTAAACCCCAAAGGATTTTTTTAAAAAGATTTTATTTATTTATTCATGAGAGACACACACACACAGAGAGGGGCAGAGACCCAGGCAGGGGGAGAAGCAGGCTCCTTGCAGGGAGCCTGATGTGGGACTCAATCCCGGCACTCTGGGATCACGCCCTGGGCTGCAGGCAGACGCCCAATCGCTGAGCCACCCAGGTGTCCCTCAAAGGATTTTTTTTTTTCTTTTTTTAGCATGATGTTTAAAGGAAAAAGTGCATTTGTGAAGGATAACAGAATCCTTGAAGTTTCGTGACAACCAGGGGCTTTCTGATCAAAATTATAACTGTAAAGTACTCCGGTTGAAATTAATTAAGAATTTTCTGACCTTTTGCTGAAATTTAGCAGAGAACTATCACGCTGGTATTAGTACTGCTTATGTTCTAACATTTGATGCTACAGAAGATACTAAGAGGGAAACACAGGAACCTCAGCCTGTCTTCTTGTGACCGGAGACACACTTAAGAGCCTTCCTGCTTGGTGACTTTAGTGCTGGAATTAATTGGAAGAGACCCCATGATAGAAAAGACGAAGCAGGAGAGGACAACCCTAGTGGCGTGTGTCTCTAACGTCGGGGTGGGCAATGTGGACTCCCCACTACTAGTGTGCTGTTGAAAAGCTAATCAGAAAAATGAATCCAGGCTGTCATGGCAACACTCTCATGCTGCACTGTGGTGTTTATGCAATTCCGACACCGTGCTCGAAACTGGAAGGGTATCTGAGTTACCCCAGCAGTGCTACACTTTGCCTGACCCAGTGCCGGTGTTCTTAGTTAACAATTTATTCCAAAACCAAATGCAGATAGCGAAAACAAAAGCAGAGGACAGTGAATTGAATGCTGACACTTCTTAAAGAGTATTTTTGAATCTGACGCATATATCAGAAATGTGAAGACACTAATTTAAAGTAGCAGAAGAGTATTTGCTCAATTTCTAGATGCACATAAATTCATCGTTTCGGTAGATCATTTGAAGACATTTTTGAACTCACTAAAAAAAAACGACAACAATAGCTGTCAATAACAGGCCATTGAATATGATCAGAAGTGTTCAGAACTGTCCAGAAGTTCCATATGTATAAGCCAAAGGGTTACTGATGTAATAAGGTAGAGAAAAGGGTGTTCTCCAAAATCAGGGGGCTTGGAAGGCAGAGGAAGTAATGTGAGGGGGGGGCGTGACAGAACCCCACTCAGGGGTTACACTTGGGAATATGTGCTTGGGCCATAGATCCAGCTTGTTGATGAAAGCCATGCATGGTAGTAGTGAGGTGATACTTGCCCTCATTACTAAGTGTTACAAAATATCAGGTGTGACTGGCATTCTTGTGAGAAAAAGGCCAAGAGTGGGGCTTTATATCTGCACAGAGATGCAGTGGAGATGAACTGAGAACGCCCCTCAGATCTGGGGAGGGAAGTCAGGGTAGAAGCACAGGGAAGTTTGTCTCAGGCATCTTGGAAACTCTCTGAACGCACATGGGTCCTTGGATTGGGGTTCAGGGCCATCTTTTAAAAAAAGTGAGGAATGTGTGCGTGCCTGGTAAGCAAATAATAGCCACGAAGAAAAATAAAAGTAGTGTCATAAATACATGACACCCTCTGCTGACCCTCTGTCACCAATGTGAGTCTGTTCAGCCATTCATGGGAGTTTCAGGCTTGGCATTAGAGGCTGAAGCTATCTTGAGATCAGAGGAGCCCTGATAAAAAGGAACTGATTTAGTTTTGATAGAGGAAGAATTCTGAAAACCCTCTCCATCAAGAGTCAATACAGCAGACCCTTGACTTTTTTTTTTTTTCCCTTGACGTTTTCTTTGGATAGATCTCAACCTGTTGGCAAATCCCCAGATTTGCAAATGCAGAAGTATTTGCATAGGCTCT